AAGAGCCCTGGCCTGGGGCCCCTTCTCTGAAAGTCTGCGGCTGTCCTCTGCCGCCTTGTCGGCGCAGACCTCGGAGGCCCAGAGGAGGCCTGTGTGGGAGCCCGCTTGGTCTGCCTTCGTCCATTCGCCGCACCCTCGAGGGGTTTTGGGGACAGGGTCTGTTTGAAGAGCCTGGCCGCCTCAGCCGTCCTCCAGGAAAGACCGCTTGTCTGGTCCTTGGTGCTGCAGAAGAGATGATTTGCGGGCGTGGCCGTCGCCATGCCTTATTTCTTCCCAGCAAGCAGAATGGGACGTGTTTCACTGTTGCATCTGCTTTGAAGAGGTCCCTCGTTTCTATTTTTGGAACGGAAAACTCTGCTAGAAGTAAGCCAGACAGCGGACAGACGGCGTCTGGCTTCGAGATCCCTCTCCTTCCTCCCGGCCGGCTTAGTGTCTGCTGGGAGTTGCCCAAAGCCGCCCTTTCCGTGTTTTGAGAGGCACCCGATGAAATGGTTGCTCATGCTTTGTTAAGAAACATCTTGTCAGACTCCTGGTGGCTCAGTGGCTGGACCCTGCGTGTGTCCACACCGCCGTCGGCTTTGTGGAGGGTGGTGTGCATCACTGCCTGGGCTCTGTAGGGAGGCTGCTGGCAGTGCTACCTGCCCGCCGGCCCTTCCCCGGGACAAGCTCAGGTGGTGAGAGAGCAGATCCTTGGGCAGGGCACCTGGTCAGTATTTCTTGGTGTCAGTTTACTCTGAAATAATTCAGCCCCAGGAGAGAAAGATATCAAAACAAAATCCTTGCGGAATTTATGAGTTGAATGAAGGCACACGTGCATTTTATGTCGTGAAAATGACACGTCACAAAAATCTATGCCTGTTACTGCATCTACGGTGGGAGTGTGGGTTCATCCTAAGTATCCCCTCAACATTTCTGAAAAATGACGTAGAGCAAGAATAGTTTTGGGAAGGGAGCCTCTGTTTTTTATTTTCCTTAATCTCTTTCTGTAAGACTAATGTAAATTACCTACTGCTTTGTGTTTTTTCCTATTCCAGTTTATAATTTCTATGAAATGGCTCTCTCCTCTTGTCTCCAGAAGTCATTGTGTTTTAAATGGCTTCACTTCACAGGAACCAGTCACCAGCGGGAGCCAGTCCTGTTTCAGAGAAAGGAAGGAAGCGTGCAGCCAGGTTCCTCTCTTAACGTTTGTCTGAAACAAATGTCTTCCTTTACCTCAAAGAGAAAATGAGAATGTTGTTAAGATTGAGAGTAAATGTGCCTCACTTCCGTTTTGATTTTTCAGACTTCACCACTCATGTATCCCCTTCTTGGTGCTAGGGAGGTCCTTGCTGCATGTTTCTTTTCAGGAATACCTGCCCTCTGCGTCTTCTTGCTGTGCTTCTCACCAATTCATGGTTCCCAAACTGCAGCCACTGAACCTACAGTGCTGCGTAAACTGCTGGAAATGTGTCAGGAACATGGCATTCAGGAGATGGTTTGGGACTAGTGAGATCATCAGCTGCAGAGGACCATACTTTATCACTTTGGAAAGCCACGCATGGATTCCTCAAATGCTTCAAGCATTGGGGAATGGTATGTATATGAGGGACTCTGCCAGCACCTTCTGTGAACGCCTGTGATTATTAATTCTCTTCAGTTTTTTTCTCTTGAGGGAACCATTCTTTTGAAGGCTTAATTTCCTTTGGGGAGGCCATAATATTAATGCTCAGTCTTCTTTCTCTGACGCACTGGACTTTGTGTTGAGCTGTGTTTTGTGAGATTATGGAAAAGGCATGCACTTACTAGAACTGAGGGTGGAGGGAACTGGGTGGAGTCTATCATCTAGGCTTGTTTCTTCCTCTGCACAGGGAGGGGTTGACTCAGTGACTCCTCCAGTTACCTGCTGTGGCTCATTGGCTGTTTTCACTCGTAGAGATGGGCCCAAGAGAGTTAAAATTATGCTGAGAAGAAGAGTTGAGTTTATTGAAATTCTCTGTCTCGTATGTCATGGAACTGGTGTTTTTAGTTTTTCTTGGCTTGAATGTGACAACTCTGCTGCCTGAGAGGCCGAGTACCAGGGGATAAACCTTGGAGAGAATGTTCAGATTTGCTGAGTGATTTATGAAGGAGTCGGAATATATAATAAGATCCTGAATATAGATTTCAGGAGAGCATGATAGGTTTCTGTAATGAGTGAAGTTTTTATTTTGTACTCTCAAGTAACTTAACTTATTTGAATATTTTAAAATATCCTTTCTATTAAATCAGTCCTTTCAAAATCTAAAGTAGACACAACTTTAGTCACAGTCTTCTTTATAATAAAAAACAATTTATCACTTAAGGATAGTAGAAACAATATATTTAAGTATTGAACTTTCATTTTAAACAGAGCTTAAATAAAATCTTGCTTAGAAGAATTAAAAATCATCAATTTAAAAAGAAAAAATTCTTAAAGAATTTTAGAAATAGGTTGTCAAGAAGTTGGATTAGCATTTTGTTTCAAAATTAGAGCTGGGTTATTTGACCCATATAGGTTTTTCCATTTTGGTTGGGAATGAATTATTGATATGAATGGAAAATTAAGAACAAGTCACAAATTCTTACTTTGGAAAATTTCTTAGGGAATGTTTTTTAACCTTCAGCTGTTAGCTAAATGTCAGAGAAGTGGCGAGGATATTTGGCAAAAGTAGTAACTGCTGAGGAACATTTCTAAGCACTGACTCAGGTTCACAGGTAAAATGAAATAACCAGTACTGGAGAAATTGTATATTCTTCATCTGGGGTTAGAGCGTGATGCTAAGTGTCTGCTACCTCTTTTGAAATTAATTTTGGGGCTCTGATCTCTGCTTTGAAGGCTTGCATAAGTTCTGTTGCTTTAGCCTTATTGAAGTAACTAGAGATTGACAAATCATAACCCTTTTAATTTGGCTTATTTCAAAAAAAGTGTTAAGGGCCTCCCATGTGCCACATACTCTGCAAAGTCTTGGGGGTGCCAGGATGATGGTGATGTGGTTCTTGCCCACAAGGAGCTCATTGTCAAGTAGGAGAAATGAATTTTCACTTATGGATGGATGAGGCAGGTAGGGAAGGCTGTTCTGATGTAATAGTTGTGTATGCGTTTAGTATACACATATGTGTTTTGTATATTTCTATATTTAATTACTAAAGTGAATTTGTTTTCTGTTGCTGCATAACAAATTACTATAAATTTAGTAGCTTAAACCAATCCCCATATATTATCTCACAGTTTCCATGGGTCAGGAGTCTGGTCATGGCTTAGCTGGTTCTCTTCTCAGGATCTCAGAAGGCTGCAATCAAGGTGTCGGCCTGGCTGTGTTCTTATCTGGAGGTGTGAGTGGGGAAGAACCCATTTCTAAGCTCATTCAGGTTGTTAGCAGAATTCATTTCCTTTTAGCTGTAGGACTGATGTCCCTGTTTCCTTGCTGGCTGCCAGCTGGAAGCCTGCTCTCAGCTCCTCGAGGCCTCTGCAGTTCCTTGCCATGTGGCTCCCTCACAGTCCCTGTCACGAAATGGCAGCTCACTTCTTCAAAGCCAGAAAGGGAGTCTCTCAATCTCTAGTCTGCTGAGCTGTAGTCTTAATAGTATAACTTAATTAAGGGAGTGATATCCTGTTACTCTCACCATATTCTCTTGGTTAGAAGCAAGTCACAGGTTCTGCCTGCACTCAAGAGGAGGGGATTATACAAAGATGTGACCCTTTGAGGGTCACCATAGAATTCTGCCTACCACGGTACATTTCTGGTTATTCCACTGACTTCTTTTCCCCAGAAATCTGAGCATTTGAGTCCTACAAAGACTGAAGAGAGCAGTCCCAGTTAAGAAATAAAAACAATCGTCTGGAAAACCAGAAGTAGATTGTTTTCTTCTCTCAGTAGGTAGAAAATAGAAGAAGTAAATAATGTTTGTAGGTTCACAGTATTGATAGGAAGGAGTTACATAAAAACAGTGATTTGTTTGGGTTATGAGTTTGGGGTGGACCTCCACAGGAATCTCACAGGATCCTCTGGCTAGCCACAGTTATTTTTTATCCGGATGTCTTAGCATTGGCTGCTCACTCTGCAGTGACATATGGCAGGAACATGCTTTGAGGGACAAGTCTCCTGGAGGGTACACAGCGGCGTACACAAGCTAGACAGATGGAGGCTTATTCAACCTTGGACAGGAGTGTAATACTGCACATTGGCAGGCTAGGTGCTGAGAGGTTGTGGTATCTGAGGCAGAGCTGACTGAGTTTACCTGAAACTGCTTTGTAAGGTGCGAAGCGGTTACCTGATGTGACCTGGAATGGTGTGGTGCACACGGAGTATACTCATCAATCTGGAATGAAGATGCTGGTGACAGATTGTGTAAACTGGAACTAGACAAAGTCTGGAGCACCAAATGGGAGGATGTTCTACCAACAGGGTGGAGGGGAGGTGTAAAGACGGCCTTGCAGACAGAATCTTGGATGTCATCACCCTAGCTTAGGTCTTCACCATGCAGGAGTCAGTTCTGCTCTCACAAAATTAAGACGTGTGTTTCATGGGAGGGAAAAGGTGCTACTGGGCCTGCCTTCTTTTACAGTTAAGGGTTGGGTGGATCTGTGTGGTTGGGAGATAATTTGGATTGTTTAGAAAGAAAATGTTCTTTTTACAGCCATACTTAGGGTGTCTGTGATTAAAAAAACTCCCAAAATCCAATAAAGACATTGTCTATTATTTGTTTGTGGCTTCTCATTGAAGAAAAGCCCTGTGTGTTTGGAGGAATAAGTATGTATCATTTAATTGGAAGATGAGAACTTGATGAGTTCAGTCACATCCCTTACCCCAGATTTTTTGCTGTAATTCTCTCTTCCTTCTCTTTATTGTTTGATGCTTATCTTTGTGTTCTTATTTTATTCATTTTGGCATTTGTGCCTTTTATTGTGACAGTCCTCAAATAGTTTTTGCAACTTGGGGAAGAGGATAATGCAATAAGAGAAAGCAGGAAATGGTTCACTGAAATTCTTTTTTTTCTTTTAGCAGCTTAAGCTCTACATTTGTAACATCCAACTGCTGTCTCTTGATTGGACCATTTTCAAGAACTGATACCAGTTTTCATACAGCTTAAAAGGTGAGTAGACTTAAGACTCTTCTCTTTGATAGTGTTTGTGAAGCAGAGCTTGTCACAGCACTAACTGTTCTGAGATGGTGTTCCTCTCAAGAAAGTCTTACCAACTTATAGATGCAAAGACTCTCTTACTAATTTATCTTTTTCTGAAAGGAGGAAGGTTACATGATATCAGATTAAGTATGACTTTTCTTTTTTGTTTAATACACAAGTAGACTCACATTGGGCTGTAAATGTATATAAAACACATATTTGTAGATTTTAATAAAATACCTGAAGAAAAATAATCTTGCTGTTCAGCTTGTGTTTATTGCTGAGACTGAGCATTTAATACCCAGATACGTTATTTCTCATTCTAAACTCTTTGTTTTGCTTGGTTTCCTACTTCATAAAATGGGGATAATAATTGGATTGCCATGAGAAATAAATAAGCCACTATGCTTAATACAATACCTGGCATATAGTACACACTAAATAAATTTCAGTTCCTTTCTCTCTCTTAGCTGTTGTGACATCAAGTGAGCAAGTTTTTCTTTATCTGTATCGGTAGCACATGTGGTCTATACTATGAAGTAGGGGTTGACCTCCTAATTTACTGCATTTGGTTTTACATTTGCGTGCTGTATGTTTCTTTTTGGAGGGTGAGGTGTAAGTGGCTGGGCCTTGGGGTATCTGGAAGTAGAAGCTTAGATGACACCTATGTGTTTTGGTCATCTCTGGACATCCTCAGACCCAAAACCCTATTTGGAGCCAGCCCCAGTGGGGGACAGTCAGTGAAGGTGCTGGGAGGGTACCAGGAGCACCCTGCCGTGCATCAGCTTGCCCATCACCAGCTTTTCACTTTAGGCATGCCTCTCCATCTCTCTGTGCCTCTATTTTGTCAACTCTTAAGTGATTCCTGTCCTGCCTGATTGCCAGGCTGTGGGGAACATCAAATGAAGAAATATATGAGTCTTCAGGAAAGTAAGAAAATCTGTGGAATATAAGGTGGATCTTTTCCCTAAATTTTTAATATGCTAGGTATGACTCATTGTTCATGTTAAATTCCTTACTAGAGTGCAAGCTTTGTAAGGTCAGGAATCTCCCTCCCTCCCACTTATTTTTTCCTCCAGGGCCTAAAACAGTGCCTGGTATGTAGGAGGAGTTCAATAAAACTTTTGTCAAATGAATTGATGAGTATCTGCCCTGGAGGCGCTCTCAGTGCATATCCAAGCCTTTTTATTTTTGTTTGCTGTTGGAAATAGATGAGGCAGTTGGAGAATCAGGAGAGATTTAATGCGCTTCCTCACTGAGGCATACAGATTCTTGAATTTAAATGGATTTTGCACAGTTTGGAACCTTCTTAAAATTATAGGTGCTAAGAAGCCTGCAGTACGTAACAAACCACATACCCTGAGTCAGTATTGTGTGCAATTCCACTGTATTGCTGAGTGTCTGCTGTTCTTATGTGTTTCTTTCTTAAGTGGATTTTACTTATGAGATATCTGAAAACTTGGAGCCCATTTGATAGGCTCTCACAGGTTGAGTGGTAAGCTTTCCCAGGGAGCATTCAGGTTGTGCACTTCGTGGATGTTCAGTGACTGATGAAATACTTCTCATTCATGTGTTCTATATTACCTGACAGGACAGCCTGATGTTTGAGAATCCCTTATCTTCCCGACTTGTTGAGTGTTGATGAGTTGCCTTGTTTTTCTTCCATAATTTGGCACACCCACCACCAGCTTAACATGGGAGGCGGCCACTCATCTCTACGCGGGCTGAAGAGTATAGGCACAGTTTAGTTTCTCTTCCATCATCTCAGATACAGTCCTTTTTGATTTTACCCACCAAAAACTAAAACTGTCTTCAAGTAGAATTTTACTAGGTAACTGAACACACCACTGGACCCTAAGAACTGTGCAGCTTGATTTACAAAATGTTGACAAAAATAGAAATAATTCTTGCAAATTACTTAAGTACCTGATTTCCCCCTATGTATGGGGTTACCTCATTCTGTCAGCTATTTTAAGCAACTTTCAAAATTGGTAACAGAAAACTTTTTCTTGACTGCGTTACTGTATGTGAATGTTAAGTAAAATACAAAGCTCTGTTGCTCCTTCTGAACATCATGGTGGTTAAAGAACACATCCCTGTCTGCGGAACTACGTGTTGCTTTGTGCATCTTGGGTCATTGTCAGGCACATTTTTGGATTCTGAGGTGTTATAAGAACTTTCACACCTAAAATAGGTTCTTACAGCTGAGTGTCTTGGAGTTTATATTTGCTCTGTTACTTGTAAAATTCTGTCCCTTAAAGCTCACAGCTGGACCGTGAAACTTTCCTAAGTGCTGATAAGATGGACAGGTGGCATTGCCACTCTGCTCCATCTGCTTGGCTGGGAAGGCCCAAGGAGATCTGGATTTTTGCATTAACTGCAGAATGTCCTGTCTTACTGTACAGTGGATTTTTTTGAACTTGGTTTTAAAATGGGGTTGGGTCCCCGTGTTTAGGTTGTCATTAATGTATTTTAAAATTTTAACCTCACATTTGTAAGGTCTAGTCAGAAACATGGCCTTTGGCTCAAATTCTGTCCTTGCCACTTTTATTCATATTGTTACTCTGGCAAGTCCTAACCCTCTCAGAGTCTTAGCTTTTCTCATCTTTAAATGGGCTAATGTTTGTCTTGTGGAATAATTGTGAAGATGCCTAATTCAGCTTTTGATGCACAGTTGGAACTCAATAAAGTGTCAGTTATTATTTTCCATCCAAATGCTAGCTCTTACCCAGGGACCATGTGCTGGCAGGATCAGAGGAAGAGAGAGTGCAGGGGCACAGATCTCTCTGTCCTCTTTCAGGACTAAGGAGGTTAGCTGGGGAATTTCATGAGGCATCTTGCTGGAGCCAGATGTGGTGGAATGCTGGTGCTGATGCCTCGATTGAGCACAACGCTGCTGGAATGTAGGTGAAGAAATCATTAATTTAAACTTTTTGCACCATTTTCTGTCTTCTTCATGGGAGAGGATGAAACCTCAGACTTAGATCTGGTTGGCTCTCTGCCTAGATGAGAAAGGTTCAATTGGGGAAAAGTCCCACCTCCCTTTTAGTTTCCTTCAGAGTCCTTAAGGGATGGGAAGTGGATGGTGAGGACCAGGGAGCCATGCGAAAGTCTTCCAGTGTGAGACCTGTTGTCCCAGTCGGGAGATGCTCCAGCAATTAAAAAATAGCCTTAGATACAGGTGATGCATCCTCTACCTGAACTTCCTGTCTTTGTGTTAAGTTTAAACTTTTAAGGTAAATCAAAGAGGACCAGTAGTGCTGGGAGAAGCATCACCTTTGAGTGTAGGTCCCTGCTATCTACAATGGTAAATAAAACAAAGCTTATTTCTCCAGATGTATCTTTAACACTGTACCACAAAATAGATTAAACTGTGAAAATGTGATCAAACAAAAACATTGGGAGCTGTAGTGTAAATGACCAGATTGTTCTGAGGCTTCCCTAACTTGAAGGAGGTTTTAAACTCCGCCTTACACTTAGGCTAGGATCATTCAGGAGCTGCACTTAGACTTCCTGTCTGTGTGAGGAGCTGGGCAGTGGTGGGTTGGTGCCTCTTTGGCCTTCCAGGTTGTCGTGAGGGAAGTGATGCCAAGGTTCCCAGTGGGAGGGTTCCTGGGACAGATTCCAGGTGGACTAGTTCTAGGGTCCCCTTTGGCTTCTGAAAGAGTTTCTAGGTTCTCTAGGCCTCATTCAGGCCCTCCTACCTCCTCTCTCTCCTCCCTCCCTTCTGCGCGCTCCATGTCTGTGCAGAGTCAAGGGACTCAGATCTGAGCTCCATCTCACTATCTTCCCCTCATTCTTCAACTTTAAGGTTAAGAGTGGCACTGAGAAAAAATGAAACTCAGCAAGGACATCAGGGATGCTGAGTGCAATGTTTGAATTAGGAAAAGCCAGCAATGCAGAGAGGAAGGCCAGCAGGCGGGAATACCACTTTAAAGGCTGGGAACAGAAAATCGTTACTTCTGTCATTTCTGTCTATGGCCTGGGAACTTGGAAATTTTCTCTGCCTATTTGTTGAATTCTGTCTTACTATTAGACCATATTATTTTCTTATTAAGTAGACATTCAGAGTGGTATTAGGAAAACACATTTACGTTTCACTTTAAAATCAAACATGCCAGCAGCTTCATTAGTCAGTGCCTAGCACAGTAGTGTCAAACTGCTAAAAAGCTAGCAAATTTTCCACCTAAAAATTTTGTGGGGGAGGTAAACGTGGGGGGCGTGGGGAAAGAGTATAAAAATAAACCTTTCAGAGATTCTGGGTTGCTTGGTGGCATGTGTATTTTTCCATGGTGCAGGAGGTTAGAAATAGCATTGCTTTTTATGGGATTCTCAGCAGCAGCTCAAAAATTTGGCTTCGTGGGCTCGATTTCTCTGTGTGGATGAGGCAGCTTCTGCAGCTTGTAGGGTGGGGGGCAGTGCCTGGCAACACACTCTGGCACCGTCTCTGTCTGTCTTCCTGCCTCCCTGCCCCCTGCTTGGTGTCACCCGGATGAACAGCACTCAAGTGTAAAATGTGCTTACCAAGGTCATGTTCTTGTGATAACTTGCCTGTGGCAACTGATGCCAGTCGTAACAGACTGAGTCTCAGCGGTCCCCATAAAGTCACATTGGTACATGTGTGAGGGCAGTCACTGGGAGCAGGTGTCATAATCTGGAAGGAGGGGTGTCCTTCAGGGCTGCTGCGTGTCAGACTGGCTGAAGCTCTTGAGCCTAGGTGAGATGACCCTCCCTTAGAGTCTTGATATCAGCAAGGTGGACAGGGCCACTCCTTTAAAAGGAGTCCTTATGGATTCTTCAAATTTGTTAGAGTTACATAATTCTTACAAGTGGAGATAGGCTGCCTGAGTGTTTCTCACATTCAGTGTAGAAAGAAAATGGAAGGAGGCGGCCACTAGGACAGAAGTTTCTAAGCCCCAGGGGACCCAGGAGATATGTGAATTACTTGAAATTGTGCCTGTTCCTGCAGA